AAAAAAAAAAATTTAAAAAAAAAAAAGGGGATAATAAACAGTAGCATAAGTAGCATAGTCCATCGTGGCCTGTGGCCTGGTGACCTCGCTACCTGTCCTGTGACAGTGTCCTTGCATGTGCGTCCCAGAAACAAAGCCTCCTTCAGGGTCACCTAGTGAGACCAGAACATACAGTGGTATTCTTGGGATGTAAAGATCCTAATTATAGACACATCAAAGAGGTTTTGTGTGGCATTATTTCTTATTGGGGAGTGAGGTTTTTTTTTTTTTTTAAGATTTATTTATTGATGCATACAGAGCTGGGGTACAGGCCAGAGGTGTGGTGGGTGAGAGGATTCACCAGAGGCAGAGTGGGGAGCAGGACAGATGTATTGAAATACACTGCTGAGGGGAGCAGCGGGTGGGTCAGGAGAGGTCTGCCAGGCCATGTGGGTCAGCTGCCTGGTGGGGGATTGAACTCATGCTGCAGTGGCTTCGGAGTGTCTCAGAATGCGGTGCTTTAACCCATTGTGCCACCAGACAGGGCCCCTGAGGAGTGAGGTTTTAAAGTCAGTGCATGAGAATAAAGTTGCCTATGCTTGCAATTGTCCAGGAAAGCTCGGGCAGAGGCTTTCCCTGGAAATACACCCCACGTGGGTAGCAGCTTCTTTGGGCGTCATTTGACACAACAGATTTGAGTTTAGGTGCCACGTAAGGGAAGATCACATATAAACCAGACACTCAGGCCAGGTGCTGTCTCAGGAGCGGGGGTCACGGAAGCAAACATGTCTCATTCCCCTGACACTGTTCTGGCATCGGCACGCTCAGCACAGACCCTTCTCTGTAGGCCACGTGTGGCCACTAAGTTTGCCACAGACACCATCATCTTTTTGCCTCTGGGCAGACAAGGGGTCTTACATCCGGGATGGAGGGAGTGTGAGAGCGGGATGCAGGAGCACTTATGGCTGGAGAGGCTCTTCACTGTTGGGGCTCCTCGGAACCAGCCCTCTCAACAAGGAGCGTGGAAAAGAACCCTTGTACCTTATCGGTGAGAAATTTCGCCTTGTTTCTCTGGCGTCTTGCGAGGTACTGGTCATACAGCTGAGCCAGCTTGGCTCCCAACACGTGCTCCCGGCTAAAACAGGGGTGATGAGTGAAGATTAACCCTGAAATATCAATGTCCAGTTGGAAGTTTCCGGAGGGGTCTCCAGATCCAATCATCTGCTGACTGCTGTGGATATATTTCACCGCCTGCCGGAGAGAACAGAGTGCTGGAGACACAGCTAACACACTGGTACTAACCTCATTACTATTCCTGCCGTAGGAAACCAGAGAGAGGCAAAGCATGCCCCTCCTCGTGAGCCCCAGGACAGAGCCCTGATTCCCCGGCTCCCGATCGCAGGCACCTGAGCTTAACTGAGCACTGGGAAAGGAAAATGAAGAGGAGGAGTGAGAAAAGAAAAGGTTTCAGTCTTGCATTCCTATGTCTGAACTCAGACCCTCCCTAGCCATGGGCCCAATCTTTGTCACGCAGCTCTGTTTCTGGACATCCTGAGTTTGCAGCTGGTGAATTTGAATTTTGTGTTTTTAAGGGGTGAGGCATCGATTCCATCCCAAACTGATGATGATTTGTTTTAGTCCTAGAATGATGTTAAATGATTTTATTCTTGGGCCTCCCTTGGTTCAGGGGTTAAGTCTCTGCACTTTCACTACTACGGCCTGAGGTCAATCCCCGGCAGGTGAGCTGCTAGAGACATTTTGTGGGGGTGAAGTGGGAAATGGGATCAAAAACAGTGGGGGGAGGGAAGTGCACGGGACTATGGTGATGGCACACCGGGACTATGGTGATGGCACACCGGTGAAGTGGTGATGGGAAACCCGCGGGGATGACAATTGAGATGGAAAAAGGCACAAAGTGATGTAAACTAATAAAAAATAAATCTTAAAAAAAAAAAAGATCTTATTCTTAGCATGGTAAAAAGACGGTTACTCAAATTAGGTCTCCCTTTCTTTTTGTTTATCTTCTTTTAATCAAGGTAATGTTGGTTTACAACACAGTATGTTTCAGGGGTGCAGAGTCACACCTCTTCAAATGCGTGTCACCCCCCTTGCCCACCACCACACCAACCCCCGGGGCTCTCCCCAGCGAGGCCACAGCCCACCGTCCTCCCTCGAGCAGCCTGGGTTCTGCCAGACTCCAAAAGTCCGTTTTGGCTTAGTTGTGTCTGTTCCTTTGGGAGAAATCACCCAGCATGAGTCTTTCTCCCAGGGGTTCACAGAGCATCACCCCTCCAGGCGCCCCTGGAAACGCACACATAGGACTTCACCGGCTGATGTGACCCGGCTCACGGACAGATTCTCAGGTGGAGAAAACGTTATTCCGTAGACAACTGCCGGAGACTAACCTTGACTTCATGGAAGCCTGGTCCTCCCAGGGAGGGAGGAGTCAGTGTGTGTTAGCAAGGAGGGAGGAGGGGCAGCTGAGTGGGGAGAACAGGATCTGGGTGTCCCTGGGCCTGTCAGGGCTTGCCTGTGAAGCTGAGAAACCACTCTGCATTTCTTCCGCAAAATCTTTAATCCATTCTGCATGGATCGCCATGCTCTGGAGGGATCTAGTTTGAGGCTGGGACCTCCATGCCGGGAGGGTTTCATCTTGCCTGTCCATTTCCCCTCCAGTTCTACCCGCCCACAAAGTTGGGGTGTGCGCTTGAGACATTCGCTCCATTCCTCTCTTTCCCAGCAAGTTTGGAAATGTTATGTTGAGAGTAAGAATCCGTGGCATGCATGTGCTATTTACAAGTTATGAGCTGAAACGGGGTTTCCAAAACTCTCACCAGAATTGAAACTTCTGTCCATCAGTTGAGAGTAACGGGGTAAGAGCCTGTGGGTAATGCGCTCAGCAGTCTCCGCGTTCCTTTCCATGGCATCAAATACCGCGCTGGATCGAGGCCAGAACTTGGATCCCAGCGATGACTCCGCCCGACCTGATGGGAAGCTTGGGCAGCCCAGGCCGGCTGGGGCCCCGATCCATCCATCGGGCGGCTGAGCAGGGAGGTTCCGTCTGCGTTTTCATTCTGGGGGGCCTATAGAGCGCTTCACAGATCTCATGTGATCTTTGCACACAGATGAACAGAGGGCACAGAGTGGGAAAAACAGAGGGCACAGAGAGGGCACTGAGCGGGAGGGATAAAGCCCGGTGTGCAGAGGGTGGGAAGCCGGGAGAGGGCGCTCCGGAGCTGGGGGCTGGGTTCAGGCTTCCAGTGGCGTCCCCCCCCCCCCCATGGACTCAGGACAGCGAAGGAGGTTCTCTGACACTCCGTGCGCACGCGGCGTGTGCAGAGAGCACTCACATTTTATCTAGTGAGACTTGTTTTCAATCGCTTTTAGTTTGTTTCCCCCATTAGATGTATTCCCCTCTGTGTCACTGAGGAGGTGGCCTCCACGTCATCAGAGTGATAATTTCGTTTGCTCCATGTGGCAATATTCCGAACATAAGTTACGGAACTGCTAACCCACAGGACTGGAAACAGCAGACATGCTGTATGGTAGCTTTAATTCTTTTCACTTTTAGTCTGAGGTCACGCCAAGTGCCACGTCCCAAAGAAACTTGGATCAGTACTTTTTACTTTCAGTGGAGTTCATTGGAAACGAGGGTAGTGTATTTATTCCTGTTTGGCAATCGAAGTGCCAATATTGGCACTGGCCAACAGCCCACATTTACCAGTGTGTGGGGAGGTGCCGTGGCCTGATGGGCACCACGCGCCGCAAGTAAGGACCTAGGTTAGTACTTTCAGAGTTACTCAGTTGCATCTTTTCCTGCCTAGGACTTGTGGTTTTTGGTAGGACACCAATACAGCATATCCTACCTTTATTTTAACAAAAAAAAATTTTGTCCTAGAAAATCACATTCAATCCGATCTTTTTGGAAAATCCAACAGATGGCTTTTTAAAAATTAAATTTATTTGTTTATGCATAAAAGAACTGGGATGCAGGCCAGAAGTGGGGGGTGTGAAAGGACCACCAGAGACAGAGTGGGCAGCACAATAGTGGATTCACTGAAATACACGGCGGAGGGGAGCAGCAAGAGACCGGAGAGGTCTGCCGCGCCATGGAGTCAGCTCCCTGGCTGGGGACTGAGCTTGTGCTGCAGTGGCTGCCGACAGCTTGACAGAGCTGAGTCTTAATCCCTTGCACCACCAGGGAGACCCCAGATGGCTTTTTTATTAAAAAAAAAATGTGCTTGCAGAATTGGGTGTGTTTGACTACTGTGGTGGTGGGGCCTGGCGCCGCTTAGTAGCATCGAAGATACTGAGTGGAACCTCCCTTTGAACTCGAAGGGCCCGTGGGCCCCTGAGCTTTGTATGTGATCCAAGTGCTAGCCCTGATTATTGACCTCCTCACTCCTCCGACCCGCGGAGTGGCAGCCGGTATTCAATCCCAATGTGCATCCGCGTCAGGAGTCTTGCCAGCATGTGACCTCTGTGCCCACGATCCCCCAGACAACCAGGCCAATTAAACAAGCTCACTCCACGAAGACAGGCACAATCAGACGCCAGCCACGGTCAATGGAAATTCCTCTTCAGTCGCCTCTAGCCTGCTGCTTCTTGTCTTGCTTTTTCCCCTCATGGGTTCCAGGCCCTGAGCTCATCTGGGCGTGGCCGTCAGGCTCTGTCTTGCACTTTTCTTGGAATGAGTAACGTTGAGAGCAGGTTCTAGTTTTTGAAACACCACCTGGGCTTCGTGTCTGCCTGCCCACACCTGCGTTAGCGATGGCCAACGTCTGGGATGGCCGACGGCCTTGCCTTAAGCTCAGCTCGGCCCCCAAGGCCCCTCTCAGCACTGGACTGGGCAGCTTGGGAGACCCCAACTCTCTCCCTGCTAGGGAGAAGGACGCCCCTAGTTCCTTGTGTCCCTTTGTTGTGTCTGATAGGCTGAGAATGATCATGAAAACAGGAGCAACAATTTCTCCCAAGAATAGACAGTATGCTCTTTTAATGGCAATCCGTGTGATGCTCCGTCCTTAGAAAGCTGTAAAGCAGACCATCCGAGGTTTGCAGGTTTTGCGTCATCGGCTATGTTCTCAGCCTCTGCAGAGACGTACAGCGATGGAGAAAAAAGTTGAAAGTTGTGCAGAAGAAGAATCATCAGCGGTGGAACTGGAGTCCATGTTCTCCGTCTGCCCTGGGGAGTGACGGTCGCGGGCGGCAAGGGCCTGCCTGGGCTTAGCACTCATGCCTGGGTCTGTTCCTCCCTGCGGGCGCTGTGATTCCCGACTTCTCGGCAAGTCTCAAGGGCGTGAGGGGGTGGGGGAGGGGGATGCAGTCTGCTTACGAGGGTCCAGTTGGTCCCTGGTATTGCTAGTGTGGGCCCAGGGAAAGATGGGGTCCCTTCCAACAAGGGGTAAGTCCCAGAGGAAGACCTGAGACATGGGGTCCTGGGCCCGGGTTCCAAGGCCCTCCTGCAATTTCATGATTTCTCCAACTCCTCCCGGCTCCCTCTGCTTAAGCTCCTTGTAACCCAAAGGCCGCTACTGGTGCAAATTTCCAGATAAAGAAACTGTGGGTTATACAGAGAGGCTGGGGTTCGCATGCCCCAGGGGGCGCGGGGAGCCAGGACCCACCCTGGCGGCTCAGTTCCAGAGCGCAGAAGACAGTGAAAGCACTGGCTAGGACCCAAAGCCTCCAGCTCGCGTAAAGAGACTGCGCGGGACGTGAGTGCAGGTGCCGCGCAGCTGACGGGAAGACGGGAAGGAAAGAAGCCTTCGGGGCAGCTGAGCTGGACAGGCAACGGGAGGCGCCCACGAGCCTGCCCTGGGTTCACATCACACACCCGCTGCTGGTCTTTGCAGGCGAGACCAGGGATTATTTTTTAAAAAAAACAAACTAATGTTACAACTTCAGCACTGCAAGCGGGTCCCCAAAGGAAGCACTTGCAAGAAAGGAGTCCATAAAAGCGTGGAGGGGGGAGGGGGGGGTTACCTTTTTATACATGGTCTCGAGTTCCGCCTTCACGTCCTGCCCTGCTGCAAACACAGGTGGTCTTGCAGGAAACGGCTTGATGGGGTTTGGGAGGGCCAGGATTCTGCCATCGTCTCCGAACCACCGTCTCCCCTGAAATCCAAGCAGAGGAAGGGCATTTTCTTCTTACTGGGCAGGAAATAGTTTACAAAATGAACGACGTTTGCTGGAAAATTCTGTGTCGACATTCGCATTTACACACTCCCCACGTTCTGTGAAAGCCTCTGTTTCTTTAGAAATTGAGTCTACACTAACACCCCAAGTCAGTTGGACATCCAGTCTTCGCTCCCTGCCCCCCCAAAAAGTTTAGCAAAATGTTTGATATTTACTTTACTTTCTATTCATTAAAGATTAAAAATAAACCCAAAACCACAGGAGAAAAGCCCTGAGGACATTCTCTATGTGGATCAGGAGACATTTCTGTGACTTGGAAAAGTCCTGCCAAATCCACTTAGCAGTGGAAATCTGCAGGCGGCGGTGGGGAGGGCTTGTTCTGGGGGTGCAGAAGAAGGAGACAAATGACAAACAGGAAGGGACCCCGAGTTGAGGGCTCAGCTGCCAGGGTACCCCCGTACCGCCGGCTCACCTGCTGCTGCTCCAGCAGCCTGTTCTCCATGATGTTCTGGCTGGCGCGGGGCACCGCCGGCCTCACCCCGATGTAGAGGCCTTCGTCCTCCAGGAATCGGGGCTGCACGTTCTCAGGGAGCTTTTTATACGTCGGCACTGGTGAGTCCGTAAATAAAGGCAAGCGGCATCAGCGTGGGTTGAACGCTTCAACCTCTATCAGCTGCATAAAAACGGGCCCTGGAGAGCGCGCACTCGCGTTCGTACAAGCTGCGCGTTTTCCGAAGTGGTACGCAGAGACAGAACCGAGGGAAAGGCGAGTGGCTCACTGGCAGTTGCGTGCCGGGGGGTCCCCTGTTTAGGGGTGACACCGCAGTCACAGACGGCTGAGGCGCCAGCGCAGGCGGGGGCGGGGGTGACCGGCAGGTGGCGGCTCCTCCCTCCCTGGGGTGAGCCTGGGCCAGGGGATGATGACACGGACCACCCCGCTACTGGGGGAACTGGATGGGGGTAAGGTGTGGGGAAGCCTCTGGGTCACCGAGGGGATGACCTCACTCATCGTGATCTCTCCGCGGCCACCCTTATCAGCTTTGCTGCACCACAGCAAAATCACAGTCTTTGAGTGCTGTTGCCAGCTACCCAATTTTTTAAAAAAAATAAGTTTATTTTTACACCATTTTGTTGTCATCCCCGTGGGCTTCCTGTCACCAAATCACCCGTGTGCCATCACCATAGTCCAGTGCGTTTACCTCCCCCCCCCCCATTTTTGATCCCATTCCCCGCTCCACCCCCGTAAAATGGCTCTGGTATATAGTTTTTCATAATTATCATTATTTTCTCCCCTGGTCTTTTATGCTCCTGCTATGAGTGAAACCATCTGGTATTTTCCTTTTCTTTCTGGCTTACTTCACTAACATGACCCCTTCCAGCTTCATCCATGTTGCTGCAAAAGGCATGAGTTTATCTTCTTTGGTCAGTTACCCATTTTTAAAGGAAACTCTGGGAGTCCCACCAATTCTAGTGTTTTCTACAGTTATGGTTCAGGCTGACCCATCAAAACTGAATAGTAATGTGTCCTTGGCTCCACATTTAATTGGAACTCGGTAGAGTCTGATGAGAAGAAACCCTGCTTCTAGGTAGGGGAAGAGCGGGCTCCTCTTCCAGGATGCAGCTGCCTGCCATTTTAGGGGTGATCCCTCAGGGGCTCTCAGGAGGGAAGGAAACCCCAGGGGAATAAAGAATGAAGGGACACCAGGGCAGGAAGGAGGTGAAGCATAAGTAGGAGTTCACCAAATGGCCCTGCCCCAGGAACCCCGCCCGGGTCTGTGGGCAGGGAATCTCTCCCAGCTGCTTCCAGATACACAGCCTTGAAGTTTCCAGTAATGATGTCCTCTGTATGCTAGTGAGATGCAGGAGGCTGGGGTCTCCTGGGTCATCCAGGGATGACAGCAGTCGGGGACCCATTCTGGGAGAAGAGGGTAGGACTTTCAGCCACTGCCACTACCTCTCTGGACCAACTCACCGCTGGAGGGGAAAGGGACCGGAGGTTAATTATTCCTCAACAGCAATGATGTGGTCAGCTAGAGAGCTGTTCCTTTTCATAGCCTGAATCTTGAGTCTCATACCCTCAACCCAGAACGGGGCAAGATTTGACTTGATATTTTCATGTATTTTTTATCGAAGCTATTTCTCAATTATTAAGTCAAATTAGAAACTGGAATCCGCTGTGGATATTAGGCACCCTTCCTGGTACACCGGCCATACTTCTTTTTTTAAGATTTATTTATTTATTCATACAGAACTGGGGTACAGACCAGAGATGCGGAGGGTGACACCAGAGACAGAGTGGGGAGCAGAACAGTTAGATCCACAAAGTACACTGCTGAGGGGAGCGGCGGGCGGGTCAGGAGAGGTCTGCCACGCCATGTGGTCACCTCTGGGGCAGGCGGGGATCGAACTCATGCGGAAG